TGTGGCTGCCCCATCCCTGGCAGTGCTCAAGGCCAGGTTGGACACAGGGGCTTGGAGCAAGCTGCTCCAGTGGAAGGGGTCCCTGCCTGTGGCAGGGGTTGGAACTGGGGGAGCTTTAAGGTCCTTTCCATCCCAACCCATTCCATGATTCTATGCTAACAGTGGGTACGCAGCTTCCCACACCATGCCCACAAACACACGTGTTTCTTCCAGGAAATGCCTTTGTATCTAATCCAAAACTGTATTTTTGAGACTTCTGAAATGCTGCAGACCTGCAGAGAAAAGGCTGGGATCTGCCCCTCAGAAGGAGAGATGCTCTTGTGAGAACAGGTAATCCAAACAGTGAGACTGCGAAAAGGAACTAAACACCATGCCAACACCAGAGACCCAAAACCAGATGGAGAAAGGAACAATAGAATTCTGCTGGCCCAGCCAAACATTCATGTCCCCGTTTCTGGAATGATCTTTGGGGGGGAAGTCAACTTAGCAGCAACCTTATGACCTTGAGGGATACTATTAGATACAGGACCAGGAATGAAAATGACCATGCAGAAAGAGGAAGGCTGACAGAAGCTGTTTGAGGAAGGGAAAACACAAAGCATAGAAAGCTCAGGACAGGTTTCTCCATCACAACCAAGGGGTAAGAAACCCTTAAGTAGAAAAGTTCCCTTGTTCTGGCATTGGTCAAGTTTTCCATCCCCAGAATTAAAGTAACCTGCCTTTTTTTCGACCAGCTGTGGCCATCCTCTTGTCATGCAGGCCAACTGTGGTTTTGCAAAGCAATTTAATGGGATTCAGAGATGCTTTTCACAGGAGCCCAACTAAGAAACAGTGTTTGGCTGTTCCAAAGGACACAAGGCCATTCTGGCCAGAAATTTGGAGCAGGACTCACTTCTGAGCACGGAGAAAAGCAGCTGTACCCCTTTTCTAAGTACCTGGAAGTCTCTGTGAGAAGGGTTGGTAACCTGAATTCTCTCAGATGCAGCTTTATCAGACATACAAAGAACTAAATCTCTGCTCCACATACCTATTTTGTGATTTCTTAACCCACCAGCACTGATGACATCTATTGTTCAAGCAGCTCTCCTTCGCTGCAGAACCTTGACAAGCAGCCACCAAGTGAAGCACCTTGGCCTTCCCCATCAACTCCTTCCATTAATGCTTCCACTTCATTGCACTGTGGCTTTGCCTGGGCACAGGTCCAGGCCACATTTACTGGTTTTAATTTAGAAAATGCATCTAATCATCGTCAGCAAAATAAACCAAGATGCAAGAATAAGAGACCTAGGAGAAAACCCTTCAAAGTTTTTATGGACCTGTTGCACACCTTCGGATGCCATACTCCCAGGAAGGTGGGGTGGACACCAAGCAGAGTCTTTCCTATCACATCCACCCTCCTCCCAAACAACAGGCCCCTTTAATTTGCCAGTCTTTAACTTTCCGTGAAGTGTCAGGCAGCAAATGTCACATTCCCTGTTTCCAAACCCTTGAACTCATTTGTAAAGGGGGACAGAAAGGCAAAGTTAGCTATAATTAAATATCATCCTGCTGTGGAGAACTTACTGCCACATCCTCCCTGCCCCGGGGACACAGGGAAACCACAGGCAAAGGTGCTCCAGAGGAATCATGCACCCTCAGAGATGAGCAAAGCAGCCAGTAACCAGGCTTGGCATCAGGGGCAGGAGTTCATCTCACACTTTGCAGAGGGGAAAAAACACCACAGCAGAGACGGGGTGACACACAGGCAGGAGACAAAGGCCCGAATTTATTCTCAAATACACTTAGGCCACTTTGAAACTCAGTCTGGCTTTTTTGGCAGGTCAGTCCTCAAAATCCAATGTTTTGCTGCTGTACTAAGGGGGCTACAAGGATGCTGGAGAGGAACTCTTCATAAGGGACTGTAGTGATAGGACAAGGGGTGATGGGTTCAAACTGAAACAGTTCAGGTAAGACATAAGGCAGAAGCTCTTCCCTGTGAGGGTGCTGAGGCGCTGGCACAGGGTGCCCAGAGAAGCTGTGGCTGCCCCATCCCTGGCAGTGCTCAAGGCCAGGTTGGACACAGGGGCTTGGAGCAAGCTGCTCCAGTGGAAGGGGTCCCTGCCCGTGGCAGGGGTTGGAGCTGGAGGAGCTTTAAGGTCCCTTCCAATACAAACCAGGCTGGGGTTCTGTGACACAAAGGTGTGTGCTCAATGCTATAAGCTCAGAGCCACCTCACAGCCACACAGGACACTGAGCACTCAGTTAGATGAGCCCACACCACAGAAAGCAGTTTTGAACCTGCCCAGCATGTCCAAGCTGCTCTCCAATCACCTCGCAGCTCCATTTAGCAGCTGCTTCTCACAAAAGCCTCATCACTGTAAAACAAGCAGAAATCTTCTCAGGTGGAGTCAGCTAAGACAAAGTAAAAGCCCAAGAAGCTGACAGAACACTGGAAGCAGTCATAACACCTCTGAATCATTGAAAGTCCACTCTGGATATCTCACATGCAGCATACATCACAGCACCCAAGCCCTGGAACAATCCCCAGCAACCTCCTATTTCCAGGTGCTGCAACCACAGCCCCTTGAGCTCTCCCACCACTGCCAGTTTGCCAGAGGTGACCACAGCCTGTCCCCAGGGTCACTGCCTGGCATCTGGAACACTGAGATGGAGGAGTACTGCAGCCACTGCTCTACAAACAGGGGAGAGAGGTCACGACCCACGTGGGATTGCAGTCACACTTGGAATGAGCATCCGTGTGCATGCAAACTCTTGTAAATCCAGGGAAGCTGCAGCAGATTTCACACAGCAAGTTAAGGATGCGCTGCAATGACTCCCAACATGCTGGGAACAGCAACAAGCCTCCAAAACAAAAATCACCATCATGAGCATGCAAAAAACCTGACATTACTCAGCAGCAGGGGAAAAAAAACACAGTTCAGGGACTGGGAAGTTTTGGGACATTTGGTGGGAGAAGGGTCTCACTGACAGACATTTTAGACAGTTAATGAACGCAGAAGCACTGAATGGCAGCAGTGGGATTCACCATCCTTCAGACACAAAAACCACATTTACACGTGGAAAACCGTGTTAACCGCTCAGATCAAAGCCTGCCCCACTCCCGAGACCAGCTAGAATCACAAGCACTTCTCTAACCAGGGAAAAGGGGTCGCTGTGTCATCCCCACGCACTGCCGGATAGCGCGGCGGAGCTGTTAGAACAAGAGGCTGATAACGCTCCTGGTGTGTATTTAACTTCACTGACCCTCTCCACTTTAACCTGAACACCTTGCAAGTACATCCACCTTCTAACGCAGACGAGCCTGAAGTGGGCAGAGCAATCTCTCACTCAAAACAAGGGCGCAGGGCATTTAATGCATTAAAAGAGAATAAAGCTCAACCTGAGATTACATTTTGGAGGAGTAATGTGTGCACTGGGGAAGAACAAGCTCTCAGAGTCAGCAACAGCATAGAACTGGTAAGGTTATGTGAAAGACAAAATGGATCAAATCTGGCCACAAACGGGCAAGTCATATCCCTCCAAACAGTCAGGTCCTACAGTGACAGTGTCACTCAGCCCTGGACTCAAATCTCCTCCCCAGTATAAACCAGTTGCTCAGGGAACAGGAACAGCAGCATTTCCAGCAGAGCAGCTGAAATGGCAAAAAGCTGCAAGTCAAGAAACGCACCAGCAAGTAGATTCACTGGGAGATGCTGGGAAAAAGGAGGAGGAGAAAAAACTAACAAAGGTCTCAGAGCTTCAAAACAGAGCAGATTACACAGCACAGTACTTTAAATGCTGAAGTAAACAACTGTACCCTTCATCTGCTAGCACAGCCCCAGCACAGCACCTAGTGCAGGGTGCTGAGCCCCAAACCCTACCCGCCACCACCGATAACCACAACAGAGGAGCTCTGCAAGCCATGAACATTACACTGGGGAAGGACAAGAGCAGAGAGGATGCCTTGTCCAGCACCCAGCTGCACATCTGCTCCATTAAATCCATCCAGCAGCTCTCCTCACCATGGGAACATACACATGCCCTGGCTTCAGTCAGCAGCCTGACCCAGAGTCCTCCTCCACACACACGACATTTCCCAGTCACACCAGTCTGCAGCTACAGATGGTAACCAGCAGCATCCACAGCCCTGCAGCACTCTGATCTCCAAGGGACATGCCACACCTGAGCAGAACCCAGCCCTGGAAGTGCCCACTCCAAAGAGCCTCCTGTGCTCTCCCAGCCCACCACTCACTGCTACTCCTCACATCAGGGCACACAAGCCTGACAGGCTCCACCACCAGCCCCCTCCAGCATGACCTCCTCATACCGCTGGTCCCACAGGCAGCACCAAAACCTCAGGGCTACCCCAGCCTGTCCTCACACTCCCTATTCGCTCCACATCCACCACAGCCCACTGCAATATCGCATCCCATCTCCTCAGCCCTCAATTCCCATCCAACTCACCCCTTCTCTGACCCACGTTGGCCCAGGCACCCCGGGGACTGATCTCCTCAGCCCCTCTATCCCTGCAGTGTTGCAGCCCACATCTGTGTCCCCTGGGGCTCCAGCCCTCATCGCTGAGCCCCACAGACCTCCAACACCCCCTTGCCCCACAGCCTCTCACCCCTGGCCTCCACACCAAGAACACACCCAAACCCCTATAGTTGCCTCCCTTCCCTACAGCCCCTGCCCCAATCCCCTCAGTCCCCAACTCACATCTTCTAACCCTAAACCCCTACAGACCCCCAACCTCTTGCCTCCTCCAGCCCCTATTAACACGACCCCATAGCTCCACACTCCCAACCTGCTCCACAGCCCTACAACACCCCAAAAGCCTACAACCTCCTGCCTCCACCACAGACCCCCAAGCCCTGTATGGCCCCATATATCCCCCCCAGCTCATACAGCGTCTGCTTTACTCACAGGCCCGCAGCCCCCTCCTCATAACCCCCAACTCCTCTTCTTCCCCAGCCCTCAGCCCCACTCCCACAGCCCTCCCATTCCCTCAGGCCGCGCCTCACCTGAGGAGACTGGACAGCGGGTGCCCCACACCGCCGCTCCCGCTGCCTCCTCCGCCGCCTCCCCCCCCGGAGCCGCCTCCACCTCCTCCTCCGCCTCCCCCCGCGGAGCCACCGAAGCCGGAGCTGAGCCGCTTCCCCGATAACAGCTTCTCCACGGCGGGCAGGTTCCCGGTACGAGCGGCCTCCAGCAGCTCCTGCTCCTTCCCCATGGCCCGGCCCGGCCGCCGCCGCCCGCCACCGCCTCCCGCCGAGCCACGCCCCCCCCGTGCGCGGCCTTCCGGGGCGGAGCCTGATAAGGGGCGGGGCTTCGTCTGGGAGGGGGGCGTGGTCTCGCTCAGGCCCCGCCCCCGGGGCTGCTTTGGGCAGGGGGCATTTCTGCGCATGAAGTTTTGGCTCGTTTTAGTTCATTTTATTCCTTCAGCGGGTGAATACCATGGAAGTGGGGTTCCGGCACGCGCTGCAGTATGAATGGAGCCGGGGTTGGCCAAAGCAGTGTGTGCTGAGAGCCCAGAACCCCCCGTGTGCTGGGCTGCACCCCAGAGCACCAACATAGGAGAGAGGGGATCCTGCCCCTCTGCTGTGCTCTGGGGAGACCCCCCCTGCAGCCCTGATCCATCTCTGGGGCAGCAGCACAAGAGGGACGTGGAGCTGTTGGAGCGAGGCCAGAGGAGGCCATGGAGATGCTCCGAGGGCTGGAGCAGCTCTGCTCTGGAGCCAGGCTGAGAGAGCTGGGCTGGGGCAGCCTGGAGAAGAGAAGGCTCCTGAAGGGGAGACCTGAGAGCAGCTCCAGTGCCTAAAGGGGCTGCAGGAAACCTGGAGAGGGGCTTGGGACAAGGGCCTGTAGGGACAGGCCAAGGGGAATGGCTTGAACCTGCCCGAGGGGAGACTGAGCTGAGCTCTTAGGCAGAAGCTCTTCCCTGTGAGGGTGCTGAGGCGCTGGCACAGGGTGCCCAGAGAAGCTGTGGCTGCCCCATCCCTGGCAGTGCTCAAGGCCAGGTTGGACACAGGGGCTTGGAGCAAGCTGCTCCAGTGGAAGGGGTCCTGCCTGTGGCAGGGGTTGGGGCTGGAGGAGCTTTAAGGTCCCTTCCAACCCAAAGCAATTTGGGATTGTAAGATTTTCCATATTCCAAATCTCTGATAGACTGGAGGAGCCAGGTGTAAACCACGTGCAGGCGCCAGCTCAGGGGGTATATACAGAAGGTATGCATGTAAAGGAGGAATGCCTGTAAACGAGGGTGTATATAAAAGAGGAATATCTTTGCCAGACTTTTCCCTCCATGTGTTTATTGGGAGGATGAATAACCACAAGCAGTTTTGCAGCTGTTTTCCCACAGGGAAGTCTCTGGGGTGCGTGGCATTCTGCACTGCATGCCAAGGAAGCAAAGCAGTTAGGAGCTGTTATCCACTGCGTAATGCTACAAGCCAGCATAAAAAATCATTTAGATACGGTCAGGTGGATTGTTTGAACACAGTATTAACAGTATGAGCCCTCACAGACGGCTGCTTGCCCCATTGAAGGGGATGAGCATGGGTTGATGCCAGCAGTTTTGGGGGGAGCCCTTTATAGTTTGGTTTGCACTTGAGGAAGGTGAGGGGAGCTCGTCCTGATCTTGTGTTGTGCTGCACACAGGGATCACGGCCTTGGTGTCCAACACACCCACTGACTGTTCATTTGGGCCTTCACATGCAGTGCTATCTTCATGCCGGGGGCTCAGGACCACCAAACAGCAAAGAGGATACGCAAAGGCTGGAAATTTCACTTATTTAGCACCTTTTGCCAAAGGTCTTTGTGTGCTGGGATGAACCCTGCAGCCCTCTATTAGCATCCCACTTCCCAGCAGAACAAAGACACAAAGCAGTGGGGTGAGAATCACTATGCCAAGGAGGGGCTCTCCCAGCCTGACCCACGCTCTGTGCTGCCAGAGAGGACCATGTGCAAAGGGAAGGTGGGAAGAGACAGACTGTGCCAGCTTGCCCCAACCTCCAACAGCTTCCAAGACACAAAACTAGCAGGAAACCCACAGCCATACCTCGAGGAGGTCCATGTCACTTCACTCCCCTCTGGGCCCAGAGTGGGGCCGTGGGTGGGCACCTGCTGTAACGCAGCTCCTTGTCACATCCAGCTTCAACTACAGCTCAGTGCAAAGGACTTGCACGGCTCGAGGGGATCCCCCAGCCCCGCTGCAGCCCCAGCCCGGCTCCCAGAGCGCCCTCGGGCACCCCCTGCTGTACCCCAGCACTGGCCACCCCAGTGCCCCCAGTTCCCCAGCTCTTGTCCTCCCAGCCCTTCCCACCCCAGTCTCCTAAGACCCCCCACCCGTTCCCATTCCTCTCTCCCCCTTTCCCCAGCGCTTCCCACCCCAGTCCCCCCCTCCCACCCCCGCAGCCGCCGGCCCGTTGCCCTGGCGACAGGCCCCGCCCCGTCGCGTCCCCCCCGCGGCAGCCGGCGCGCTGCGTCATCAGGAGGCGACACCGTCGGAGAGCGATGGCGGACCCTGGCGGCGCGGGCCGGGAGGAGCTCGGGGCCGGCGCTGCTCAGGAGCCGCCGCCTGCGGCCCCGTCCCCCTCGGACGATGGCCCGGCCATGGCCGCGGAGGAGCCGGCGGCCGCGGAGGTGGCAGGCGAGGGCGAAACGGGAGAGGCCGGTGGGGGCGGCGAGCCCAAGGGGGACGTGCCGGACGGAGAGGTGAGGCCGGGCCGGGTACGCGGGGAGCGGGAGCCAAGCGGACTGCGGGGCCGCCGAGCCGACCGCTGCGCTCTCGCCCAGGTGAGGAGCGCAGAGAGGGAGGGGGTGGACGGGGAGGACCCCAGCCTGCAGGCGTCCGCGGCCAAGAAGGTGAAGCTGGAGCTGAAGGAGAGGAAGGAGAAGAAGCACAAGGTGGACGAGGACGAGATCCAGAAAATGCAGTGAGTGCTGGAGCGCAGCGGGGCCGGGGGACGTCGGTGCTCGGGGTTTGCTGCTGGGTGTGAGGTAATCATTGAATACAGAGAGGAGCTCTTCATCAAGGACTGTAGCGATAGGACAAGCAGCAACGGGATCAAACTGAAACGGGAAGTTCAGGTTGGATAAAAGGAGTAAGTTTTTCCCTGGAAGCTGTCCCTGCCCGTGGCAGGGGGTTGGAGCTGGGTGAACTTTAAGGTCCCTTCAACACAAACCGGTCTGGGATTTTGTAATTCTGTGATGGAATCCGTTTGTGAGCCCGTGGTGAGCAATGATTGCAGCTCCATCCCGGATCCCTCCTGAACAGGCCCAGCCCCTTTGTGTTACAAACCTGAGCACTGCCTTCCCCTGCCTGGCTCTGTGTTGCAGGAGGCTTGGGAGGGTCAAAGGGCTTTGCAAGACTGTTGCAGCAGCCTGAAGGGCTTCAGGCTTCTATTGTAATTTTTGCTGTAAATAATCAATGCTCTCCACGCAGAATACTGGTCTCTTCCTTTTCTGAAGAACAGCTGAACCGTTATGAGATGTACCGGCGCTCTGCTTTCCCCAAAGCTGCCATTAAACGGGTATGACATCAGTAATGCTTCACCACAGACTGAGTCTGAGCAGGGCAAGCAGGCTGAGCCTTGCTGAGCCTGGCTGGGGTCTTATCTGGGCCTTGGTGTGCCCCCCTCCAGTTGCATCTCAGCCCCTGTAGCTCAGACTGTTATCCTCGGCTCGGCTGATCTCATTATGTCCCAGCTCAGTGCCCTTGCATGGCTTATGCAGTTAAATCAGAATTTACTTAAACTTATGGTTTGGAGGGCTGTGAGGCAATGGGAAGAAGCAGTGTCTGCTTCAGGATCAGCAGCTGAATGAGCAAAGATAAAACCTTGACAGCCAGCATGTGCCCAGACCTGTAGATCTAAAGATAGGTCACTGCTGTTCTGTGCATTTTGTGAGCTGTCAGTTGATACTTGCCAGGCTCAAACTGCTAAATATGAGTTAAATGCTTCACCATTGCTGTGTGTACCTCACTCAGCTGACTCTCCTCCTTTTGTCCAGCTGATCCAGTCCATCACCGGCACCTCTGTCTCTCAGAACGTGGTTATCGCCATGTCTGGCATTTCCAAGGTCTTTGTTGGGGAGGTGGTGGAGGAAGGTAAGTGGCAGATGTTGAGGAGAAAGTGGAAAAAGATGGGGTGAATGTATTGCATGCAGCAGAGCAAGACAATGGAGTAAAGCTGGATGTTTTCTGCTTGCTGCCCTATGGGGCCCTCTGACCTTCCAAATGCTGTGGTTAAGAGCCAGGCTGAGAAGGGTGGTGTGTGGTGTTACCCTTTAAGCCTGTTGGTGTCACTGCTCACCCATCAGCAGAGGCTGGTGACCACTGAGCTCCTGGTTTATCCCTTCTGAGGAGAACTTAGCTCTTGCAAGTCAGCCTGTGAGCAGGCTGCAACAGGGCAGGAAGGATCTTCTCTTGGTACTGCTGTGGATAAATTCAGCCCAGAGGGAAATTAGATGTTTAAGTCTCTTAAACCTGTAAATATTGTCTGTTCATGGGAAGAGCCAGGATCTTTCTGGGACATGGGCTGGGAGGCTGACCAGCTGTGTCCCTGCTTGCTTGGGCTGGAGGAGAAAGAGGCACAGGCTTTGCTGCCAAGCAGTTTGTATAGACTTGTGAGGCAGAATGTGGCCTGTGTGTGCTGGGGTCACCCTTACCAGGCCCTGCTGCTGTCTCTGCTGCTGTATCTGAGGTGCTGTGTTGCCCGAGGTGGTTTCTTTAAGCAGCTTCAGTGCTGTCCTTGGTTGTTTCCTGTGGTTAACTGCTTTATGTCCTTGGCAGGAGGTGTGAATGATACTTGAAATTATAGAAAAGAAACTGGTCTCTAAGTCCACTTCTGTCACTGCCATACACAACACCCCAAAACACACCATCCAGCCCAGGGGTGGCTTTAGAGCAGAAGGTTTAATAGTAAGTGCTTGTGTGGCTCCAACCAGTGTATGCCTTAGTGGCTAAGTGGTTTACTCTGGTCTGGTATTGATGCCCTTACGACTGACTTTTCACTCAAAGAGAAGCCCAAAAAGCATTTCATTCTTGTGTGTTAAGCTGTGAGCTGTAAACCCCAAACAGTAATGTTAACTGTTGCCTTTAAAATTAAAGCTCAAACAGTAGGATGGGCTAAGTTTAACTGTTGCTTATGGGAACTCTTCTTGGTTTTTTATGTGTAGCACTGGACGTGTGTGAGAAGTGGGGGGAGCTGCCACCTCTGCAGCCCAAACACATGCGGGAGGCAGTCAGGAGGCTGAAGGCACGAGGACAGATCCCCAATTCCAAATATAAAAAGATCATCTTCCAGTGAAGTGTCCTAAGAGCAGCGAGAGAAGACAGAGATGGAAACAAGCTTTCTGTTGTGAACCTCACCATAGTCACAGTAGAGCTACGGGACTGGAGCTCCTGCAGGAGCATTCTGGAGAGCCTTGAGGGACTGCAGGGAGGCTTCAGGCCATTGCTGCTGCAGTTTGGCATGGGATTGGAGCCACATACCTGACCTGGAGCCTTGAGCACCTCTGCTTCAGCAGAGCAGGGGCGGGAACGTTCAAGGCCTTCAGTGTATTTTTACCCCCTCCTACTTTCTGCTGGCACAGATGTAGTGCTGTCCACATACAGCAGTGTCTGGGTTTGTACATTAAACTTATTACTGTGTTCTTAGTCTTGCTGGAAAGTGCCAGTTGGGGTTTGATTTGAAGCAGGGGGAGTGCAACAGGATGATCAGTGTCAACCAACCCTGATGTGTTCAGGAGGCTTCACCTTGCTTCAGGCATGTGGTGTTCCAGTAGCGCAAGCAGGGGAACCAAACTGAGAGCTGATGCTTTCAGAGGTGATGCTGGGGCAATCCTCACTCAGCTCTTCCCAGAGCGAGTCTTGTGGAGCTGTCTAGAAAAACAGTACAGAAGGAAGGTGAAGGGCAGGGAAAGGGGGATGGGAAAAGCATGAGTTAGTAAGTTTAATTTCTTTTCATGGTTCATAGAACCAATAAAGGCATGAGTGGAAATACACTGCAACAGAGTTCCAGTACTGTGTAAAACTCAAAGCCAAGTCAGATTTGCTCATTACCCACCTGTACGTACACTAGTCCCTTGTGAGCCTGGTACAGTCAAGGGACTTTTCACCGTCCAACTCATTACACAAAGGAATTCCTGAGGTTGTGGAGCAGCTGAGGGGATTGGGAATGGGGGGGGGAAGATGCACCACCACACAGACGCCTCCACACTTCTCAACCCCAAGGCTTTCCAGTGGCTCACACACGCAGCTGATGGAGGCATCAAGCTCCCAGTACCACGTGCTGGGGTGCTGTTAGGGATGGCTCAGGGAGATCCATGCTTGCAGCAGCGACTGGCTGCTCCCTGTTAGAGGCAGCTGCCTCTGGGACCCCCAAATTCCCTCCTCAGCCCCTTCGCCAGATAGAGCCCCGTGGCACGGCAAAGGCCAGCCCCATCTTCATACTCACAAGCTGCACTTGGGGCCACCCCAACCCATCCCTTGTGGCAGCCTTTGGAAACCCATGACCTGTCCCAACCCCATCCTCGCCTCAGAAGGTGAGGTCCTCCAGCCCACAGCTGGAGCCCTTGGAACAGCAGAATTCCATGATTCTGCTGGCATTGCCAGATCCCACCAGTGTCCCTGCAGAGGGATGGATCCAGCCTTCCCTCTATTGCTTTGGTGGGATGTTCAGAGTTGTCTCAGTGGGAGATACACTGGTGGTCCCTGCAGTAGCTGCGATGTGGTGCTCGGTACCCCACACGCTCGCAGCATCCTTCATCCCAGCCCGTGATAAAGGGATGGCTCCATCACATCAAGTAGTTTGGCTTTATGTAAAACCACATAATAAAGTAAGATTTCTGTATTCCCCTCTACAATATGAACTATTTACACAAATTCTACACACACGGAAGGAAGACCCAAATGGAAAACCAGGGGATCAGCAGCTGTAGGAGCCGGGAACCCATGGGAATTACAAATAAATAACTTTGCCCACCAGCCAGAACTCTTAAAAACAAACAAACAAACAAAAAACCCCAACAAATTCATGGAAATAACTTAAAACCCCAAATAAGTTACAAAAATGGAGCAACAAGAAAAAAGGTCAAATCTCATCACTATTGGAAACTGTACAACAAATTATATACATATATATATACACACAGAGAGACATCATTCCCTTAGCCTACAGACCATTCCTAGAAAGGTTTGTTGAGTTCACCCCATCCATGACCTGCGGCTCCATCTGTCCTGACAGTCTCTCCAGACAGGAATGATGCATGGTGTGTGGATTGGCTCTCAAGTGTCTGACCCCACCAAAAAAGGACCTGACTCCCTAAAACCTGAATGAACAAAATGAAACTGCACCCCCAGCCCATGCCCCTCCCCCCACACATGTCACCCCCCCCCCCCCCCCCAAAAAAAACAACCGACTCAAAACCCAAATCAAAACAAAAGAAAGTCCAGGACAAGATGCGCATGGTCGTGTCTGAGGATCCTTGCTCAGTTCTGTGCTCAGCAGAACAAGTCTGGGATTCTCTGCTGCTTCTGGCCAGGAGCCGCCTGGAGCTGTCACTTGCCAGGCTCCTGGATGAGGCTGTGCAGGTGGATGTCGGCTGTCTCCTGGGGCAGGTGAAGGGCTTGCAGCCACGTGTGGTTGAAAATGTCTTCCAGGGATGGTCTGTCGGAAGCGTGCAGGGATAAACACCACCGGATGAGGTGCTGGCACTCTGGGGAGAGAACCGGGACCCGCTGTGAGTCACAGGAGGCTCGTGTGGCCGGAGCCACCTCCCAAAATAATTCCGTTGTCCCCTGTGCCGCGAGGCCGGGTACCCACCGACAGAGACCCGGCGCCGGAAGAAGAGCTCCCGGCTGATGATGTCCTCTTAAAACTCAAAGGGGGCATCCCCACAGACCATGTCATAAAGCAGCACGCCCAGTGACCAGACGGCCGCTGGACGGCCTTGGTAAGGGACCCACTCGGGCGGGCTGTACACGCGTGTTCCTATGGGATAGAGGCACAGCTCAGCAGGAGGATGCATCCCTGGGAATCGCAGAGGCTGCGCCAGTGGCCCCATGGGGACACACACACTGTGTCACCCGTTCCCCGTCATCAGCACGTGACTCTTGTTGACAAACTTTGGGTTGTAAGGAAAAGCCGCCGGTGCCGGAAGATGGCAGCACGGAACCGGGGGAGCACCGACCGTTACAGGCGAGGCTGCTGCTGCGTCCCGAGCCACGTGTTTGATCGCCACCTGCAAGCCAAGGGCAGCGCTGGGCTCAGCTGGCCCCGGCCCCGCCGCGCCGCCTCCCCCAGCCCCACCGCCAGCCCCGCCACTTACCGGGGCGCTGTCGGACAGGCGGACCCCCGAGTACACGGACCCGAAGCCGCCGCTCCCCAGCAGCGGTCCCACGCGGTAAAGCTGCTCCAGCGGCTCCTTCTCCTTCCCTGCGCGCCAGACGCGGCCGTTACCGCTGCAGCCGGGGCTCCAGCCGGCCCCTACCCGCCGCCCCGCGCCGAGCGGAGCCGGGCCGTTACCGCCCTTACCCGCTTGCAGCTTCGCGGCGTGCAGCTCCCCGCCGGTCCCGGAGCGCAGATGGGCCAACGAGCTGATTTTCGAGAGCAGCATCCCGGCCCCCTCGCCGGTCCCGGCACCTCCATGACCACATCGCGCGCGTGGCGGCGGCAGCCCCATGGCCGGCCCCGGGCAGAGCGGGCCCTGAGGGCGGGCGGGGGAACGCCAGGAGGCGGCGCTGCCTCTCCAGAGCCAGCGGCGGGGCCCGCCCAGCGCCGCCACTGTCGGGAGCGGGAGAGCGGAGCAGCGGGGGAGCCCCGCGGGCGGCGGGAGGAGCCCGGCCTGCGGATCACGGCCCCGCTCTCAACGGCAACATCCGCGCGGGCCACGGGCCTTAACGGCCGCGCTCCCGCGGGTGTGGCCCCGGGCTCGTTCGCCCCCCGCTCTCAACGGCGGCATCCCCGCGGGGCTCCGCGTCCGAGCCCTCCTTGTGGAGCTTATTCCTCTCTTTATCCCTTTTCCCTTAAGCCCCGCCGGGTGCCGGGGTGGCCCCAGGTGCACACGCGTGCCGGATCGCCAGCTCGGGTCGGCGGAGGTGACTCTGCAGTGTGAAATGGGGGTGGTTGTTTCGGTCTGGGGCTTGCGGGACCCTCTCCTACCTAAGGAACACGGTGACTGAGCTCGCAGAAACACACCCCTAGAGGAAGGGCACCAAAGCTGGGAAAAGGATGAAAGAAACACGGGGATAACCCCCCTTAAAAATATGTTTCTTTAGCTGTGTTTGACTCTACACAGGGAAAGGGTTTTGCAGTTGTTTTTTTACAGTGAGTAAGTAGGGGGTTTTCTCATATAAACCCCCAGGAACTCTCACTGGGTCTGAGTGATGTCCTTATCCTCTCCTACCAAAGGGCAGTGAACTCCCCATCAAGGAGAAACAAGGAGTGAAAAACCCTTTTCCTTTTCTCCAGTCCGTGTGTGCAGTCCCTGTGCCACAATGTGCTGGTGATGGGCAGCATGGAGGGGAGCCATGGGCAGCCATGCCATGGCTGCAGGTCTTCAGGCCTCCCATGGCTCCATCCCCATGGCAGAGGTCTGGGACATGGATCTGTGGCTCTTGGCCTTGTGAAGGTCTCAGTGCCCAGGAAAAGCAGAGCACAGGGGATCAAACAAGATCCTTTGCCAGCACTCAGAACTTGGCTGCACTCGGTCACGCAGGCAGGACAAGATGGGACCTTAGACCAATACTGTGCTCTGACCCCAGGAGATGGCACCTTGGCAGGACAAAATCATACCTCAGAAGGACAAGATGTCAACTGGGCAGGGAAAGATGGAAACCAGGCAGGACAAGATTGTGCCCAGGCAGGACTTTGCCAGCCCTGCCTCAGGAAATGATATTAAATGAGGGAGAACAAGATGGCGCCCAGGCAGGACAAGATGGAGCCTGGGCATGACAAGAGGGTGTACCTTAGAAGGACAGGGTAATACCTTAGAAGAACAAAAGAAGACAGTGCGCCTTAGAAGGACAAGGTAGTACCTTAGCAGGACAAAACCACTTTAGAAGGACAAGACAGTGCCCTGGCTCCGGGAGATGGCAGGATGAAAGTGTAACTTGGGAAAGCAAGATGGCGCCCAGGCAGGACAAGATGGCGCCTGGGCAGGACAAGATGGTGCCCAGCAGCGGGATCTTGTCAGGGGACATGATGCCCCTCTTCCCTTCCTGCAGCACAAGCCCAGTGAGCACAAAATCACCATCAAGAGGCAGACTCGAGCCGGTGTAAATGTCTTCCAGGGATGGTGTGTCGGGCCTGTTTGCCTCACAGCTTTGGTGGCGGGGTGAGATCCCTGTTCCTCTGCTCGTCACTCAAGTGCACACATGCTACGTGTCACTCTAGGTTGGCTGAAGTGGCTGCTTCAGCGTGAAACAGGAGCTGTTGTTTCAGTTTTGGGGTGGATTAACCCCCTCCTAACCATGAGAAAAAGGTTGATTGAGGACACAAAGCTATTACCCTGGAAGAAGGGCACCAACAGCTTGGAAAAGGATGAAAGAAGTGGTTCTTGGCCTTGTGAGGGTCTCACTGCACAGGAAAAGCAGAGAACAGGGGATCAAACAAGATCCTTTTCCAGCACCCAAAAATTGGCTTCACTTGGTCACCAGACAGGACAAAATGGCACCTGAGCAGGACAAGATAGTACCTTAGAAGGACAAAATGGTACCTTGGAAGAACAAGATCGGCCTCTGACCCCAGAAGATGGTACCCTGGCAGGACAAGCTTGTCTCTGGAAGGACTAGATGGTGCCCGGGCAGGATTAGATGGTGCTCAGCCATGGGGTCGTGTCGGGGACGATGCCCCTCACCCCTTCCTGCAGCACAAGCCCAGTCGGGACAAAACGAGCAGCAAAGGCACAAGCCCAGTGTGCCTGCGAGCCCCCAGCCCCGCGCGGGGCCTGCTCGGCTCTTCTGCGGCGAGGGTTCTAAGAAACACCCCAGCCGTTGGCGAGCACTGACGGGAAGGGCTGGGCCGAGCCCAGGCTGCAGCCGTGCTGGCTGTGATAGCGTGTTGGGGTGCTGGAGGAGATGGCGGCCACCCGAGGGGCCCGGGCCCCTCACAGCCACAGCAGCCTCGGGGGAGGTTTGCTGCTGCCTGAGAGCGGCTTCCCGGAGGGCCCGGGGCAGAAGTGAGAGAGGAGGTTCAATACAAGCCACATCTCAAAATAGGCCTGAACTCTGAAGGTGTTTGGAGCTGTGCTTCCTGCTCCTCGCCGCCCCAAAGAGGAGATGAAAGATGCAGCTGAGTTAAAAAGGAGAAAGAAGAAACCCAGAGTGAAGATCTCTGTGGAAGGCAGCGGCTCAGCAGCGACCCACACACCAGTCACACACCAGGCTGGCACTTGCCTCCAGGGCTCCCTGATCCCCCCAGTAGCAGCCCCATGGCTCGTAGAGTGGTGCCGGCCAGCCCAGGGTGAGCTGGGAAAGGGATCGCTGCCTGCGTTTTGAACAAGAGAGTCCTGGGGCAAGCCAAGGGAAGGAGGGTCCTGTTGTGCTCCAGCTGCATGGAGACCGTAGGTTGGAAAGCAACCTGCAGAAAGGGAAACATGCCCCTTCTTTGAGCAGACACACAGCACTGTGCACACAGCAGCAGGGGACCAGGAGGTCAAGCAGGAGAAGTGCTTCAAATTCAGCTTAAAACTGAATAAAATTATAGAATCCCAAGAAAGAACACCAAATAAACGAAGGACCCAAACCCAGCAGCCCTGACACCAAAGCGCCGCAGAGCTGGAAGTGGGGCTTGACAGCTTGGAGAGTAAAAGCTCAAGCGAAGCGTTAACCACTGCTGACTGACTTCTCGTAATCCCAACATCAACTTCCTCTGGCTCCACGCTCACCGCAGCCGAGCTGGAGGTGGGGACAGCCCGTGGCGGCTTCCTTCACCCACCAGCAGCCAGCATGCAGCACCCGCTCTGCTCCGCGCCAGCAGAGCCGGAGCAACAGGATCTGCCTTACCAAAACTGACTTTGGCCGACAACATCCGGCGTCTCATCGGGGTGCTTTGATGTTTGTTTACTTGGCAAACCCAGCACATGCTCCGCACCAGCCTGCGGACGGATGGAAACGAAAAGGGCTCCAGCACCTTGATCTCTCCCAAAGAGACCTGGCAGGAGCAGTGAATGCTGGAAACATCCTGCCGAGGGATGGATCCAGCCTTCCCCCTTGGTGCTTTCAGCTGTGGGTCCTGGTTGACGCGGCCCAGCAGCCTTTGAGTCAGTCCCTGTGGGACACACACTGGTGGTCCCTGCAGCAGCCACAATGTGGTGCCCCGCACCCTGCACGCTCACAGCATCCTTCATCCCACCCTGCGATAAACGGATGGCTCCATCACATCAAGTGGTTCATTTTTATTTAAAACCGCATAAAAAAAATAAGATTTCTGAGTTCCCCTGTACAATATGAACTATTAACACAAATCCCACCGGCTCAACACTCGGCTACACATCAAGACTTGACACGCAGACAGCCTGGGCCAGCTCCCCCGGCCCAGCCCCAAACAAGACACCCCTGGAGACAACCAGACCTCATCTGCAGACTGAGAACCTGCCCGTGGCAGGGAAACAACAGCGACCACAACTGTGGGCACAGGGAGCTGGGAGCAGGAGCTGCTCCACACCTCCACCGGGCTGCTGATAAGAACACTAGGGACCTGGGGCAGACACGGGACACACACGGAGGGAAGACCCAAAGGGAAAACCAGGGGATCAGCAGCTGCAGGAGCAAGGCGCGGGTTGGAAACCCATGGGAATTATAAATAAATAAATAACTTTGCCCACCGGCTAGAACTCTTTAAAAAAAAAAAACAACAAAACAAACAAGAAATTCATGAAAATAAGTTAAAAACCAAACCTGGAGCAACATTAAAAAGGTCAAATCTTATCACTATTAACAACTGTACAACAGACATTGCTCCTCTCTAACTCTGTCCATATTTACAGCTCTGTTGGTTTGCATTGTTTGTGCATTCGGGAGGGCACAGAGAAGCAAGGAACCCCAGACAAATCCACGTGAGAAGGAGGCACAGGAGGCATCGCCCGGCTGGGCTCCCGCTGTCCTCTGACCTCCTTGGCAAGGAGCTCTACATCCAGGCGAGTCTCGGCAAAGCACCAGAGTAGGAAAATTCAAGTATTTCCTCCAGCAGAGCCCAGATGGCAACTGAAGGCACTCGAGCAGGGGACAGAGGAGCAGAGGCACCACCCTGGGCCTGCCCCCCGCCATCAGTTCTTCCCTGTTGAAGCTTTTTGCACAAGAAGGTCCCTGTTCCTCTTGTGGTCCTGAATCCAGCAGGTCAGGAGACGCTTGGGAGCCTCCAAACCCAGAAACAAAACAGAAACAGAACAAAGAAACAAAACAAAACAAAGAAAACAGAACGACGACAACAAAAAATGAAACACAAGAACTACACCCAACCCCCCACACCCCGCTCCCTGATAAAACCCACCCCCAAAAATCCCAAATTGCCCAAAATCCCAAACCTCCCTAAAAAAACAGCCCCCAGAACTCTACCCCAGCCCCGTGAAACCCAAACTGGACAAAGCCAAACCCTGATCTCTCCCAGAAAACAAACCAGAACAAACCAAAACA